CGATCCGTGAACGATATAATTCCATATTTGATAGAAAGACTTGACTTTAGCTAAATTTACAGAAACTGGTAAGTCTAGATGAAAGTAAAGAGGAACGGCTAAATGGTCTTGCAAATTTTGACCGACGTCGGGAAGATCCGAGACCACCGAAATCTGGAAAACACAAGTAAATTGGATTCGTAAAACAACCGATATACATTTTCAAACAAGTAATTACTTTTATTTCATGGGTCATTTGGAATTAACGACAATATTCTTAAGCAAATCTCGTTAGCGCAGCGAAGTTTGCAAGGTAAAATTAAACCCCGTAAATATGACGAAAGATACGGGAAAGTTCGCATGTTCGGCCTGAAGATAAAAACACAAATGGCGAGTGACGAAAACTGACTCGGGTAGTTTTTCCCGTAACGATCTGTGACCTTTCGGGTCGGCACCTCTTTGGTACCCTGTCAGGATTGACACCACCGTGTTTCTCGAAACACGGAAACCGAGACAGCGATTACGTCACGCCGTCGCGCGAGCGGTCCCGTACGTGGTCAGACGGATTTGTAATGTCGATTCTAGAGACATCATTGGAAGTGACTCAGATACACTTAACAATTAACAATGGTTTATTTAAAAATCAACGGGATTAAGTGTTGTCGTGGAGAGCGAGAGTTCACATATGATTCGCAGGGTGATAAATACCTGGAGTTTGGTTGATTCTTGAATAGCTGATAATTGATAATTCAGTTCTTGACTTAATCCAAAGTTCTAGCGACGACGTTCATTCAAGTTTCTTTGGCACTTAATAAATCCTGTTGCAAATAATCCAAATAGGAGGCACAAAAAAACAAAGTCCAGTTGCTATCTGACGACTTCTATCCAGAGAAACGGCGGCAACTGACTCTTTTCGGCCGTCTCTGGTGATATTCACCAGCGATTTCGGCCATGCAAAGGTTAATAGTTCATGAGAAAGCGTCATGTTGCTTTTGAGAAAATGTAACGGGAGGCTTTCTCAGGTAGCTAAGAACAACAACAATTGTTGCGTAATTCACGAAATGTTATTATTAAAGACTATTTCTAATATAGGAATTTCTGCTATCTCACATAGTACTTCCTTGTAAAGTGTTAGTTTTAGTTTGATGGAACATTTTGCTTTTAATATATATTAATAATAAATATAAATATAGATAATATCAATATATTGTATTTGTAGACATTTGTATGCATGAAATACAGCTAAAAAGGTAAATAAAAAAGTTTTGTTTTGGGTGAGTTAGGAATGAATTTATCCATTTTATATTATTTCTTATAGGAAAATTTATTTTGGTTATAGAACAAATCAGTTTTCAAACAACTTTCAGGAATAGATTAAGTTTGAAAACAGAGGTTTGACTGTATATATAAATTAGATCTTATCAAGAAACAAAATCATGTTTTAAATTTTAATATTAAAACTATTTAAAGTATATATTATTGTTTATACCCACCTTAATTTTCACATAATCATTTTCACATTCCATAACAACAGGTGCATCAAAAAGATTGATTGGATTGCATCCATGCCTATTTTAAACAAAAGTTACAAATTCTGATTACAAGCTGAATATATAAATTTCATTACTTGATACTGTAAAATTCAAAATTAAGAATAGTCTGTCCCTTGGCATATGCAAATACATTTTCCATTAATAGAATTTTATAAAATTTCTGGAATGACTAATATAATATTGCTTCTATATCCCTGTTATTCCAAAATTACAAAAACCACATAATGTCATATATCATTAAAAAATTAAATGGTGAGATAGCTAGAATGGCACATAATAAAGCAAAACAAATTGTTAATATTCAACCAGTTTCATACATTATTATTATTATTTTAATTTCTGACCCACACTGATTGCATTATCATAAAATTATATGGACACTATCAAATTATATATATCTTTACAATTGTACCAAAAAATTTATCTGAGTTCAAAGTTATATTCAGCCTTACATAAGTTAGGGACTAACTGTATTAATTTTTACAAATTTAAATAAAAATAAAAAGAACATTTATAAATATACATGAATATTTTCTTATATAAGTATTATAACTATTATATAAGAAAATATTTATTCATGTAAATTTATAAATGTTCTTTTCTTTTGACATATTCTGAAATGTTATTTATGATATTCCCTTCAATAGATACAACCTCATTTTCAGATGTCTCCATATCTATTTTTAAAACAATTCTCAATGGTCTTCCCAAATACCTAATCTTGCTACATCACCAAAAAATGTACTGTATAAATAGAGAAATTCTTTTAGCAATAGAAGTCATTCAGTTTATCTTGAATTATCTTCTAACTCTCCTAAAATTCTTGCATACATTTCATTTCTTTAACATGCATTTAAGTTAAACATTATTTATTTCATTACATTATTATTCATTATTGCTTACACATCTAAATCAGTGATGATGTATTTGCAGAAAATAATATTACTTTAATATTTTTTAATAACATGTTGCTAACTTAAAAATTTTTTGTGCAATGTTCACCAACAAAACACTCTTTCAAAAAACCTTAAAATATTAATCTATTTATGCCTAACATTTTCAATCATATTCAGCAATCTACAGTTTTAAGCCAGAACAAAAAACAGAATATTAAAAACTTAATAAACTTAACTTAAATTAAAAACTTTATTTAAATATTAAAAACTTAAATTACAAATTACAGCAAATAGAATATTGTGTGCCAATAACATTAAAATATTGATGCAATTTAAAACAAAATAAATTATTAATTCATGACAGTTGAAAATAATCTCAGAAGTAAAACTAATACAATTAAAACAAAACAATTCTCAGATTAGTTTCAATACCATAAATTAATAATTTGTTTTAAATTGCACTGTTTTAATGTTATTGTTTCATTTTAATCACATTGATTTTATTTTTCAGATTATTTTCAGATGTCAATAAATTAATAATTTATCTTGTTTTTAAAATACATTAATATTTTAGAACAATTTTTTCAAAGTTTATATTCCATTTAACTAACCACAGTAAGAAATGTTACTTGTCATTCAGGCATTTGTATTTGAACAGCAATCCAAAATGGGTATTGTTTCATATCCTTAAAACATCAAGGATTTTTACTTTTTCCACTCACAAAAGTCATTTCTGACATTGCATATTAACATAGCAAAGAACTGTAATATATTCCTTCAGTGATTTAAATTCTTTAGCACATCCATATATTTAAACATATATCATTATGTTACACATATAATGATATGTGTAACATAATGATAATTGTATTTGAATTTCTGATTATAATAAGTGAAAGTTTTGTAATGTTATTTAATTTATATGTTTTGGTACACGCTGATTCTAATATTAGATAACAGATAACAATATCCTCAATTACAATACATGGTACAAATTGTATTTGTGGTAGCCTGCCAGAGTTATGAAACTGATGCAAACTAGAACTGTTTCATTTGTTTAGCCCTCTGTAGACAAGAATTGCATTTCATACTTTCTGTAGAAGAATAAACATTCGCAAGGAAATCCTCCTCCGCGTCTTGCCATGCCAAAACAATATCGTCTACATACCTCAGATATATTAGTGAATATACTAATGTGAGGGGGAAATTAAAAATCTTTTGCTCAACATGCCTTGTGACTATTTCTGCTAATATGGCAGACAATGTTGAGCTCATTGGAACCTCTTGTTTTTGTAGATACACTTTCCCATTGAAACGAAAGTAATTATGCTTGGTAACAAAGAGTAAAACTTTTTGTTGGCAAGTGTTGGCAAGCATAACTGCCTCAAATTGAGGTACAGAGGGATAGAGAGCAACAACATCCATTTTATAGAAGTTGTACCTATTAAGAAATAATTCTTCTAGAGCAGCAGATAGATTAGCTTTGGCCACAATGGAGAAAGGTGTGATGAAGGTGGAAGAAGCCCACTAGCAAGTGCCTTTTCAAGATAGTAAGTAGGATGGGACCTTTTGTTAACCAGTGGCCTTAATGGCAGCCCTCTTTATGAGTTTTGACCTCAAAAAAGAGCCTGGGGCATGCTACATTGGATAGAGGCTCCAAGTGACCAGGAAGAAGGGCAGATATACTTGAAAGTGCTAGTATTTTCTTGGTCTTCCTTAATACAGTCGGAGTTGGACCCTCCTGTAAGACCACTGCGTGGGATTGGTTGAGAAAGTCAGCAGCTCTACTTAGAAAATCCTCTTCCCTGCACAAGACAAACTTCTCCTTGTCCGAAGCCAACAGAAGAATAAACATTTCCTTGCAAATGTTTATTCTTCTATCGACTTCACCTGAAAAAAAAAAAATGGGGAAAAAATTGCATTTTCCATACTCTCTGTTTATATCAACCCCTAGTTTGGCAGAGATTTTTTTCAGGCTTAAAAAGTCAACTTATACAATATAAGAAATGAAATATGGTCATTTGACTTGCTGTTTTTTATTTCATAGTTGAAGAGAGAAATCTTACTCTCTTAAACTGTTAATATAATAGTTGGAGACAAAAGAATATTGAATCATTAATAACATTTTTTAAAATGTGTTATAGTTTACATTACAATATGTAAAGTTCAATTATAATATTTAAACAATCTTACCATTTTCTGTAAGATCCGACAAAATCCAGATTTAGCAAATGACCCGACACAGAAGTCATGATCATGGTACAGTTCTGATTAAATAATCGATACTCAAATTCATAAATTTTATTGTATTGAGATAAACCGTCCCTGCGTCTATAACTACCCCTAGACATAATTTCGGCCAAATTCTTTGCAGCATCGTTCTTTTCTGCCACATTTAAAATCATAGTACTTGAAAATTGAAATCTTCTACAGAAGAAATAACTGTTGATGCGGTCGGCAGAAATCTGAAACAAAAATAACTATTATTCCCTGTGTAAGTAATGTGTAAATACAGTAGTTACAAATGCAGCTCCAAACAAGGTGGTTAGGATCTTATCAGTTAGGACCAGTGTTTTTCAACTGCTAAACCGCAGAAAAATAAGTCATAGTACCGACACCATGAAATGTTAAAAAAAAAAAAAAGAAGGAAGAATGAACATCTATATTTGGATGATGAAAAAATAGAAGTCAACAAGTTCACATACCTAGGAAGCATAATTACCTCAAACAAAAAAAGTGGAAAAGATGTTACAGTGAGAATAGCCAAGCAAACCAGGCATTCTATAGAAAACAAAACAATATTAACATCGAAAAATATATCAATCAATGTTAGGAAGTGATTCATTAAGAGTTTCATCTGGAGTATAGCATTGTACAGTTCAGATACATGGAAACTCAGAATAGAAGAGAAAAGTAAGCCAGAGGCCTTCGAAACGAGGTGCCAGCAAAGAACGATGCAAACTTCCCGGGCAGAGAGAAAGAGAAATGAGGATGTTTTGGAAGAGGCAACACAGGAGAGACATATTTTGAGAACAATAGAGGAAAGGAGAAACGACACGATCAGCCACCTAATTCGGCACTTGGAGCAGATGAATGTTTTATCAGAAGAAAGATAGAGGGCGCAAAAGACACAGAGTGGGATATCTCAACGAGTTATTACAGCAAAGGCCTTATCAAAAGATAAAACAGCTAGCTAAGCAAAGAAAGAAGCTATAAGACTGCATATATCCACATTTGCCCACCAACCATTAGTGGAGGAGAGAGGGAGGGAGGGAGAGAAAGAAAAAGAGAGAGAAAATACCGACGCCGGCACAGTCAATTACGGGCGTCATTTAAATAGTAATCAGGAGTTACTGTAGGTAACAAAGAACACACGGTAACACCACAAGCATATATAAGCGTAATAAATAAGCATAATTTGTAGATGCATTTAATTACCACCCACATAAAATTATCCATAATTTTACCAGTCTACAATGATAAAAAGGTTGAAAAATACTGACCGCAGGAGTAAAGAATTCAAAGAAACCGAGGGGATTTAATAAAATTAAGGAAAGAGTACAAACCACTCATTCAGAGCTGCAATTTTACCAATACAATATATATATATTAACAGATCTACAATAAATTATAAACTAAATAGAGATGTGTTTAACGAACCGATCTTAATCGAGTTTAAATCGTTTTTTTGAATGATAATCTGTTTTTATAACCCTAATAAAATTATGAAGATAAATTTCTCTTAAAACAAATAGAAACAAAAGGAGATCGTTGGATATTCTCACCCTTTTTGTAGACGGTAAAAAGTTATTACGGAAAACTGAACGAAAAGTGCGAAACATTCCTAGCAGACATTGTGAATCTATTCATTTTCGCACATTAAAATTCAATTCGTTTGCCGCCATGATGAAAAGCGACCCCTGCCGACCAAAATCCTTGTATTTGCTTACGTAAGTCATAAAGGCCTAGCAACATAACGACTTTTATTACTGCCTTTAAAAAAAAAAAAAAAAAAATTACAGTATGTTTTGGTTTATCGAATGATATTAAATTCTTCCGAAGTTATAATCTAGACTGGTTATTAAAAGCAACCTATACAGAGGTTTCTAGAGCGATAGCATAAACACGTGTCTGCGTGTTTGCTGTGTATATTTAACAATTGTAAGTCTACTTACTACAATTAATAACATAAATTTAATTTTGGTTCATATATAGGCCTACATTTTTTCTCAAATTCCCGAGCTGTATTATTAAATTTTAAATTTTCTTTGTATAAACTCTTTTCAAACACTAAGACGAGTTTAGTTAGGACAGAGTCGGGTTAGGCAACAAAAAGACTGCCAGATGATGTGGTACTGAATGAATGGATGGAGTCTATGAATACATTGTTCTGAAACAAAATGTCGATTGAGTTCATAAATAAACTGATCTTAAATGCTGAGTGTTGCATTAAATCACACTATATTCATAATTAATGGACAATTTAAAGATGGCGGAATCACGTCGTCTTTAAATTGATGGTTGTAAAGGCACAGGCCTGACATTCTGGGGGGCGCAAATTATTGCTGAGGATATTAACAGAAAATTACGTGTATCCTCCGGAAAAAATGGAATCATTTAAGTTGAAAAAGCGATACGAACTTTCCTATTCGAAATGATAAAAACTAATCAAAGAGGTTATTTTATCTAATGGGTCTTTTTTTTTAACTCTTTCCGCCCTGTGGGCACTAAGAGGGCCTCTTTTTGCAAGCCCATTATGGGTTAGGCCAGGCCCACAATGGGGATGCCGGGCGGTGAGGGACGGGGCCCGACATATACGAACGGACCACCCCCGAATAATTCCTGGGGATTTTTCGACCCGTTCGGATTAGATTTTTGACCCATTAGTAATAACATTTTTTAAAATGTGTTATATTAATATATTATTTTTTTTGTAAATCTTAAAGTATAGAATCTGTTTACATTACAATATGTAAAGTTCAATTATAATATTTAAACAATCTTACCATTTTCTGTAAGATCCGACAAAATCCAGATTTAGCAAATGACCCGACACAGAAGTCATGATCATGGTACAGTTCTGATTAAATAATCGATACTCAAATTCATAAATTTTATTGTATTGAGATAAACCGTCCCTGCGTCTATAACTACCCCTAGACATAATTTCGGCCAAATTCTTTGCAGCATCGTTCTTTTCTGCCACATTTAAAATCATAGTACTTGAAAATTGAAATCTTCTACAGAAGAAATAACTGTTGATGCGGTCGGCAGAAATCTGAAACAAAAATAACTATTATTCCCTGTGTAAGTAATGTGTAAATACAGTAGTTACAAATGCAGCTCCAAACAAGGTGGTTAGGATCTTATCAGTTAGGACCAGTGTTTTTCAACTGCTAAACCGCAGAAAAATAAGTCATAGTACCGACACCATGAAATGTTAAAAAAAAAAGAAGGAAGAATGAACATCTATATTTGGATGATGAAAAAATAGAAGTCAACAAGTTCACATACCTAGGAAGCATAATTACCTCAAACAAAAAAAGTGGAAAAGATGTTACAGTGAGAATAGCCAAGCAAACCAGGCATTCTATAGAAAACAAAACAATATTAACATCGAAAAATATATCAATCAATGTTAGGAAGTGATTCATTAAGAGTTTCATCTGGAGTATAGCATTGTACAGTTCAGATACATGGAAACTCAGAATAGAAGAGAAAAGTAAGCCAGAGGCCTTCGAAACGAGGTGCCAGCAAAGAACGATGCAAACTTCCCGGGCAGAGAGAAAGAGAAATGAGGATGTTTTGGAAGAGGCAACACAGGAGAGACATATTTTGAGAACAATAGAGGAAAGGAGAAACGACACGATCAGCCACCTAATTCGGCACTTGGAGCAGATGAATGTTTTATCAGAAGAAAGATAGAGGGCGCAAAAGACACAGAGTGGGATATCTCAACGAGTTATTACAGCAAAGGCCTTATCAAAAGATAAAACAGCTAGCTAAGCAAAGAAAGAAGCTATAAGACTGCATATATCCACATTTGCCCACCAACCATTAGTGGAGGAGAGAGGGAGGGAGGGAGAGAAAGAAAAAGAGAGAGAAAATACNCGCTATTAACGAACGCACCCAAAAACTGTTACCAGTTGATGATGCTCATGCTGAGATCATTACATAGGATGAATAATCCTCTGGTAAAATATTTACTTAAATAATAAATAAGTATTTTACCTATGAAAAAAAAAAATGAATAATAAATTCGATTTAAATAAGGATTTAATTAACAGCATGTTTTTTAATTTTTGGAACCTAACCCTCTTTTCGCACTAGTTCTTTGTTTCGTATAACACGGATTCGCATAACACGGCAATTTTTTGGAACGTAACTCCCGTGTTATACGGGGGTTACCTGTATATAGGTCTAATTTGTAAAATTTTATTTAATTAATTCCTCTATTTTTATATATATACAGTATTCTTTTTAACTAAAAAGCACTACCAGGGCCTTCTTAGTAAGCTTATTATAAGCTCGACTAGACTCACAATAGGACAGTGAAGAAGGTTCTAGGAAACGTGGTGTTGAATCCTGAAGAGTCATAAAAACCCTCGTAGATGGTCCATCCTGTTGTATTGTGCCCCGTCACTCGTCACTCATCTTAAGAATTCCATTAGGTTGTTGATAATGGTAGAAATATATAAATAAAGAATAACATTTTACAAGTTTATAAATATTTATCTGTGACCACAATTACAATTCATTACTATAAATTTAAGTCATTAGATTAATTAATAAATGAGCAGTGTATACGATTATATAATACAATCGTATAACAGATTAATAAAGTTAAATAAACTCTATACATTTCGATTTTTATTTAAAATCATCAACCATGACTGCCGATAATAATGTTCATCCCGGAAATATATTATAAACCAGAAAATAGATAAGATCAGCAATTTTATTGGCTTATTTAGTTATAGCCTAAAGGCATACAGTCACTTTAAACCTGTAACGACTGATTTATTATAAAATTTTCTCATAGTTTAGTTTTATATCGAATTGTTTATAGGACTATATAATTTTAATGATATTTCGAAGTAAAGAATCTGCGTTATTTTAATAATTATAGGACTACTTGAAAGAAAGAAATGTTTTGGAGAAAAGGACCTTCGACCTTCAACCAGTATGCAACCGGTCTACAAGTAGGTTGCTTTTTAAACTAGTCTTGCTGTAAGCATTTCCTATAAAATGTTGAAAAAATATTATGTTTATATACGAGTATTTATCTAATGGCTAGACAAAAAGTGAAATTTAAACGAACTTTTCCATCGATCTTATTCTATAAAGTTTCAATACATAAATGGATATTACCTGTTTTCATTTGTTTTACTTTATTGCTACTATTGGGATATAGAACATTGAAAATATTGTATTTGGATTGGTATGATTCATCGTTAAGAAATTTAGGTAAAAATTCCAGTTTATATTTCTTTATTTTTTTTAAAATGTTTTCTCGATTTAATACTGGTAATTTTATTTTTACGTAAGATACACTAGAATCTTTATTAGCTTACATTCGTCATCCACCCACTCTATGTAAGACAACCTTGACCTTGAATGGAACGTATGATGATAAACATCACGTAGTAGACAGGAATAATGTGGTATGTCTAAAGCCAGGACCTGGACTTAGAACTAACTGCATTGTATATTCGTTTAGGTAATTATGATAAATTCAATAGACAAATCACAATGCGAAAGTTTAAATTTTTAAATTAATAGGATAGATGGAGACTGGTCCTTTGATGAATCTATGGAGAAATATGGTTGTAGGGTATACGCTTTCGATCCTGGAATCGATCTAAATAACCAGAATCTCAGTAAAAAAATTTCGTTTTATAATCTGGGTGTATCGGATGTCAATGAAAACAAGTAAGTAATATTTAAATTTTGTATATTTTATTGACAAAGTTTAGATAAAATCTTACATTTAGAATACGTACAAAAAATAAGATATGGAAAATGAGAACGTTCGATTACTTTCTGGATCTCTTGGGGCATCATAATGAAACAATTGATGTACTGAAGATGGATATCAAGGGATTCGAATGGGATGTGTTAAGGCATATGTTAAACAATGAATACTTTAATGTAAGAATATTTTTATTTAATTAATTAATTATTTATTTTTATTTTATTACGTAATAATTATATTGCATTCTTCTCAGCAAATTCATCATTTATGCGTGGAAATCTATGGGATAGAGAGCAACAACATCCATTTTATAGAAGTTGTACCTATTAAGAAATAATTCTTCTAGAGCAGCAGATAGATTAGCTTTGGCCACAATGGAGAAAGGTGTGATGAAGGTGGAAGAAGCCCACTAGCAAGTGCCTTTTCAAGATAGTAAGTAGGATGGGACCTTTTGTTAACCAGTGGCCTTAATGGCAGCCCTCTTTATGAGTTTTGACCTCAAAAAAGAGCCTGGGGCATGCTACATTGGATAGAGGCTCCAAGTGACCAGGAAGAAGGGCAGATATACTTGAAAGTGCTAGTATTTTCTTGGTCTTCCTTAATACAGTCGGAGTTGGANATATAATCTTTGGTTTTTCTCGTGTGAATATTTTAATTATTTAGGTACATTTTATATTAAATGAATAGATGATAATTTGGAAAATATATAAAAGTAATAATGAATTTTATATTATATTATATCAATGGTACTCAACCCGTGTTCCACAGAGCATAAATGTTCCGCAAACTTGCCCCGAGTGTTCCACGAAAATTTTTAAAATTTTTATTGCAAAATTATTCCAATATACTACAATATATTACTTCATTCGTAGACAATCTCGCGTTACTATTTTATTCAATACAATAAGGTTTATAGTTTAATGCTTTATTGTTTCGTGAAATCTGTAAATTCAGTTCCAAAAATATCATAATTTGTCCCGTATTTTAGCTAGTGTAGCATTTCTGAATGCTACACTAGCTAAAATACAGTTTCTGTTTGTGGTACAAACTTCTGAAAGTGAACCTCCTAAGAAAAAAATTCAGCATAGAAAGACGGGGATGTCGACTACGAACACTAAATTCCTACTAATTAACAATAAAAACTTCATAATTATTATATGAAAGCCGTAGTTTAGAGAATATTCACTTTGTTCACTAACCGAATAAGATGTAAAGAAGTAAGGGTTTACAATTGGATTTACAAGACCCTATCAGATCTGAATTCTAGACAATTATAGCCTAATTGTCTAGGCCTGACTCGTGCCTGTTTTTACGTTGCCTGTCCACCGCTACACAGTATACACTACCAAGATGGCACCCTCCGATAAGACAGCATCTGTAATTATATATATTTTATAAGTCATTATTTGAGAACAAAAAAAATTTCATCTGCTTCGTGTTTACATCATCGTTTAACAGTGTCGTATAACTTCTGTTTAAAAATTATCAACAATTTATGTTATTGTTATTTATATACCATCACATTCGTATTGTTATTGTGTATTAACATAGCTGTATGTTTTAATTAATAATTCGTATAGATTGACAGATATGTTCCTAGAACAATTATGCAAAATATATGTGAGAGTTTTATGTTCAATGCAACTGTTCATTTCTAAATTTATCGTGTAGAATGTGTGCTGTCTTTTAAAATAAATACAAAAGAATTTACTTTTAATTTTTTTAAGTCGCATTGAAAGGGAAAGAAGTTGTTTGTTTATTTATAAAACTTTATGTCTAAATTTATCAATGAGTTTTCTGATTTGTTAAAATTATCGAAAATTTCTATTTAATATTGATTTGTCTACACCTTTTAGTCCCCCCCCAAGGGTATAAAAGAAAGCCTGAGTATAGCGAACACCAGCCGCCACGAATAACTAAGTGTAGAAGTTAGTACCAAGTGGCTGTTAGTAGGAATACTTATATCTACTTAATACTAATGAAACTGAATGCGATCGCGAATCTTCCAGACAACTAAAGCTAACCTTACCTAACATAACCTAATCGGAAATCAAGCTAAGAGTTTCTAATCTAACCTTTGGCCCACCAGTGGCCAAGCGGTCTTCGTTCCCTAAACACTCGGAGTTCGGTCGTGGGTTCGTGCCTCGCTCGGACTGGCTGGCCACGTGGAGTTTTCCGGGTCTGTAACGCCTAAATAGGGGCCAATTTCCCTTAAAAAGACCTCCCGGAAGGCATTCCCCTAGGCAAATCGCCATAACTAAACAAACAAATAAACCTAATCTAACTTACAACTAGGACAAACCGAATTTAGACTGAAAAAGAAAACAGAAAATAAGAATTAAAATACAAAGTTGAAAGGCAGCTATATACCAACAGTTAAAACAAAGCAAGGGTAAGCTAATTGCCATCCGTGCCTTCGGAGTAGTACTCTCAAGAGCCTCAACAAGGGAAATGAATGCGAATAGACGATGGAAAGTTGTACGCGTGTGAATGAGTTGGTGCGGATTGCAAGGTCAGTTGTATCCTTCAAGAATAGCAAGACTCATTAATTAAACTATCTCTAATGTGATTGCAGAAAAAAACTAAGCGAAGTGGTGTTTGGTCCTTCTGAATACCACAATAGCATTGTGGATTGTCCCCAAGGTTAAATCTATGCAAGTAGGCCCTATTGCTTAAAGTTGCCGTGTCCTGTAAGTAGCTGAGTGAGGGTATAACTAGGGTAAAAGTGGCAAAGAATCGCAGTAGTGTCAATCTTGGGGATGAAAGTGTAGGTGAGCCTACCAGTGGTATCATGATCCCAGCTGTCTTGCCAGAGAATGAAGATTTGCTTCTTGACGTGATTGTTGATGTACGCGGTAGGAATGTAACTGAAAGTACTAGTGAATTAGCAGCTTGTTTATCAAGACGATCAGCGGTCTCGTTGCCGAGAACCCCTGCATGACCCATAGCAATACAGGACCCATAGGAAATCTATTCTAATGTTGTTGTCTAAGTGTATGAGATGGACGAGTTTTAAGCGGCTATCAGACTTCGCAATCCTGTGTAAATCTACCCTATTGTCAGAATAAATGCGATAGTGTAAGTAGTGTATGTTGTCCTTCATACGCCTAATGTGAATTAAGCTCATATAAATAGCTGAAGTTTTCGCCTGTGCTATTGAGCAGTGTGTAGCTAGACGGAAGCAAGCGTTGTGAAGCTCGCGGCCTAATGCTACGTCCTACGTGGCAGCATCCAGCGACCGCTGGCGGAAAGAATCTTTGTACGCGCTTCCAACTCGCCAGCGACTTCTGTCCAGAGTGGACGCGTGTTGTTTACAAGATGGCAGCGAGAAGGCTTCATCGAATGCTAGTATGGAAAATATGACAAGCATTAAAACGGTAAATTACACATTTAATTGTTATCATTAACTAGATACACAACGAATATAAAGAATCTTTATAGAATAATAAGTTAAAAATTTTTATTTTTTAAAAATCAGAAATTATTAAATTACGTAAAAGATTATTAATTAAAGTACATACAACATATATACACAATTTATTTATCATTCTGTTTTTATTCATCTTCAAAATCAGCCATTTTCTTCGTTGGAAGAGGCGATCAAACTGGCTTGGTAGATCTTCCTGCACGCGCGTGTAGAGGCGATCAAACTGGCTTGGTAGGCGATCAAACTGGCTTGGTAATCTTCCTGCACGCGCGTGTAGAGGCGTCCATCTGGTGGTCGCTACACGCTAAACGCGGTTACTCCGGACACGCGTATTTGTTTGAACCGGTTTGTCCGCTCCGCTCGGAAGCGCCTTTACGCCCGCGGTCGCTGGACGCTGCCACGTAGGACGTAGCCAAGCGGCACCCACATCGTCACCCATCTTGGAATCGTCAGTGTAAATCCTAAACACGGCATGATCATCTGGATCTTCGATCAAGGTCAAACTGGGGGAAATCTTACCTACTCTAATTATTTTGTCGACATCCGAGTCTCTATAATCTCGCCAGGGTAAAGTGACGAGATTTTCCTGCCAAATAATGCGTTTAATTTCTAAGTCGATAGTGGTCAATCCTGACATTACCAAAAGGGCACTAGTGGATGCGGTTCTATAAGCCTTACAAATGCGGAAAGCTGCAATCCTTCGAACAGATAATAGTTTTTTTATGGTTATGGACTTTGGCGGCCACGTGGCCCCAGTCCTGTATAACATAGAGAAGTGTTGGTTGAATTGCACCCGTGTAAATAAACTTAGTAGCGTTAGGGCCAAGGTCCCATGTGTTCCTAGCAATACAAACAAGGGCGTTGGCCATCTTTTTAGCTTTTTCCGTGATGTTTGATGTGAAGTGTGAAGTTAAGTCTTTCGTCAAGAATAACACCTAAATATTTAATTTCCGTTGTTTGCTTTATCTATTCAAAGGATAAGCTTCCTGACGAGTAGCGTGTTCCTACCAGCTATCATGCTTTCGCATTTGTCTGTGTTAATGGGTTGCCTATGCTTAATACTCCACATAATACTCCACGTAATTATAATAGGACAAGCAAACAAGACGTTTATTGAGCTGCAATTAGAAAAAATTATTGACTATGAATTCCGTTTGTCTTTTCTTTATCTAAAGAACGGAGTTAGATAGATGAAAGACGAGACCAGATATGGAAACATTAGGGGCAGCAGGAGACCCTCTCACTTCCTGTACATTGCTTTAAAAATTCTCAGTAAACATACCTTCTATCAATTAAAAAGGCCCACTGGGCGTTTAAATGCCTTTATTACGTGTAAAAGAATATAGGCCTACTACAGATTATCAAAATCAAGCAATAGCCGCCTACCGAATGCTTTCAATATGCTGTTAGTTTAATCGTTGCAAAAAGATTTAATTTGCATAAATTTGAGCTTTTGTTATTCTGGACAACATTTCGAATGAAAGTCATTCGTTTGCATGCAATTTTATCCTAAATAGCTCTATGGGGAATTCCGCAAAGTTTGACTTATCGACCCGAAAGTTTGCCACCACCTTACTGATAACGAGAAAGGCTTAAGTTTAAAATTTCAGCACTCTAGAACCGGTGGTGTTTTTTCTCTAGAACCGTCCGAACCGCAAGAAAGAAAAAAAAAAGACACTTTTTATGGCGATCTATACACTTTTCAATTGCTTATATTTCAACAACCCCTCAGTAGAAAAACCTGAAATTTTGCATACTACCTAATAAAACAAATATCTTTTGAACGAGATGTTCACATTTACTATAGACGTTTGAAAGACGGAGAAACCGACCCCCGAAAATCCGCAACTCTGAATCCCATATATGTAGTCAGTCGGTGAATTTTCCACTCCGAGCAATGTAACTGCCATGACTCTCGATACTGTAGAACGACCTTTCTGCTATAGAATCGACGAATTCAGCGCTGTAAAAGCAGGAGAGCAGTTTTGTTGGTGAATTTCTGAACACCTTTAATAATATTTTACAATTATTTTCTTTTTGACGTATTATCCATGGTGACCATTGATGTATAAGTCTTAAAGCTGTTACGTGTAAACAAAACAATTTAAATAATTCCTTTAAGAAAATACTTGATAAACATTTAAATACAGTTTCAAATTCTGCAATAACCTCCACCTCTAAACGGCGGTTATTTATTCAGAACGTTTTTATGGGTAAAAACGCATACAAAATAAAATGCAAACAGCGGGCATTCTTAAATGTTTCTGTCAGTGACCATTCTTCAGAGGTTTGACTGTGTTATAAATCGCAAACAAAAGGTTTAAATAATAATTTCTAGTTATTTTGCATTAATACTAAAATCAGGATTTAATTAAAACTTTTAAAACCGATTAACTCGAGAATAATTCCTAATAGATTGAATGAATAAAATCTTAAAATAATAATCGAATAATTATTATCATATTAATATCATGGAGTCTATTACCTTTGTTCTAATATTTAAAAGAAAATTATTTTTAGATTAAAGTGACTCATACGTAAATGTTATGCGTAATTAATTTATAGAAAACAATAATTTAATGCTTCATAATCAATTTAATTCTTTAACTGTTCGGATACAAAAAGTACAATTGTACGAATGTTAATCGAATAATTATCATATTAATATCATGGAGTCTATTACTTTTGTTCTAATATTTAAAAGAAAATTATTTTTAGATTAAAGTGACTCATACGTAAATGTTACGCGTAATTAATTTATAGAAAACAATAATTTAATGCTTCATAATCAATTTAATTCTTTAACTGCTCGGATACAAAAAGTACAATTGTACGAATGTTAGACATTATAATCACACCAGAGTAATTCCGATATATGATTTATGCCTGAAACACACAAAATTGGAGAATATGTTCCATTTTTGACACATCTTCTCTGTCTGGATTGCCTATATCGTAATTGAAATATATATATATATATGTATAAATTAACTATAGCAAAAGTTTAAATATATAAAAATAACACATAATATATTACCTTAAATTTTTTAGTCAAACATTCTTCAATCTAATGGAACAAAATTCATTTTAGATTTTGAATTAAAGTCAATTCACTTTAAAAGATCTAATATATTTTTATCGTAAATTTTCTATAAGTTAACAAGAATTGCTACGAAATCTTAATATTCACTTAATATTAAGAATAAATCTGCCTGCAAAATATAAAGTGCTTACATCCTTGTCTCTGAGAACATTATTGTCACAAGCAAACGTTAAAAGAGCATCCAATTTGCCATCGACTTCATAAAATCTATCTACGCATTCATATAAACTATCGGTTGCCTTATAAAGAAAAACATTCGTTTAAAAATGCGTGAATTAATCTAAACCAAATCACAATTGAAAATTAGAAAATAAGCATACCTTTTGATATATTTTGGGGGCATGAATAATAGTGCAATTTAAGTATCTGTACAGATATTTGTCGGGTATTGCTGAAAAAATCAAATGTAAATTAAATGATGAACTTAGCTCTTACCGCAATGAAGAAGATAGAGAAAAGAAAAATGTAGCATTACAGCACATAGCATCTTGGAATTCATCCGAAGTAAACGATTGTACAACTCCAAATACAGCCAGGAATGAAAATGCTGCAATCAAGTACACTTTCATCTTTCGTTTTCTATTTTAATTCGACAAAATGTTGTAAGATCGAACAATTACAAACCGAGTATAACTTCGATTTGTGTGACAACTTATTAGGAAAGGAAATTTATTCGAATTAAAGAAAAAAATGTCGGATGTAAATGCCTTTAATAATATCCTGTNCACTTAATATTAAGAATAAATCTGCCTGCAAAATATAAAGTGCTTACATCCTTGTCTCTGAGAACATTATTGTCACAAGCAAACGTTAAAAGAGCATCCAATTTGCCATCGACTTCATAAAATCTATCTACGCATTCATATAAAGTATCGGTTGCCTTATAAAGAAAAACATTCGTTTAAAAATGCGTGAATTAATCTAAACCAAATCACAATTGAAAATTAGAAAATAAGCATACCTTTTGATAGATTTTGGGGGCATGAATAATAGTGCAATTTAAGTATCTGTACAGATATTTGTCGGGTATTGCTGAAAAAAACATATTTAAATCAAAGTAAATAATGAACTTAGCTCTTACCGCAATGAAGAAGATAGAGATAAGAAAAATGTAGCATTACAGCACATAGCATCTTGGAATTCATCTGAAGTAAATGATTGTACAACTCCAAATACAGCTAGGAATGAAAATGTTGCAATCAAGTACACTTTCATCTTTCGTCTTCTATTTTAATTCCACAAAATGTTGTAAGATCGAACAATTACAGATTATAACTTCGATTTGTGTGACAACTTCTTAGGAAAGGCAATTTATTCGAATTAAATAAAAAAATGTCGGATGTAAATGCCTTTAATAATATCCTGTATTTGTAAGGAAACGATTATACATATGATTTATCTGAAATAAATTTCTCTTTAATTATCAGACTAATGAATTAATTAAAAATTAGATTTATCTTTGCTGTTTTTACGTATTTAATATTTATAACAATTGTGTAACATTTTCCACAAATAAGTGCAAATTTTATTATAGAATTAATGAAATTTGATGAAAATTAATGAAAAACTGTATTACGTTTTTTTTCTATGACATCGTATATAAAGAAATAAAAATACAGAGGTCCCAATATAGTATATCTCCAATATACACCCTTTTCAAATTTACTGTAGGTGTTGTATTGTCAGAGGTACTGTGCAGAGTACCTCTGATGGCATGTATTGTACAATACAACACCTAACCGGTATTCAACTCTATTCTTACTCGATCGTGGTCTTTGCATCAATGGTATTCCGTACAGTGATTTGGCATACTTGGGTTTGACATAGTCACAGAAAGAAGTCGAGGTGTAATGTCAAGAGACCTAGGATGCGGATAATTGAGCAGCCTCTGACAATCCAACGTGCCAGAAAAGTTTTGTTCAACTCATTTCTCACAACTGTAATAGAATCCAATAAAATCCATTGAGTAGATCAAAACTGTGTAACAACAAAATATAAAAACTACAAAAATAACACAAACAAAGTATCTATAGTGTATATCTGAAATCCCTTATGGATAGTTAACTAGGCGAATATGCTATCTGTGAAGAAACTTCATTAAAAATTAATCCAAATATCATGCAAATATATGAAAACTATTTGTATTTACAGTCAAACCTGTAAACAACGACCAGCGACGACAACATAAAAAATTCAGCAACGAGTTGCTTAGCTTTTCCGGCCTCCATCTATTACAAAATTTTATTTAAAAAAACAACTTTTTATATTTTAAACTATAATAAAATGGCAAAAAGTTTAATTTTCAGAGTAGGGATGAGTTTTAAAAAAAAAATTTTAAATGCTAATAACGAGTAAAATCGTCATTAAGTCCGACCTTGCTGGAGATACACACGACCCCTTTCTTTGCTCATCCTCATCACCTTTAACCATCAAAATTGAATAACATAAATTCCCTTAATACACAAACTTCACTGCAAAATTTCAGAAATTTTCGACAAATTAAGTAGTTCAAGTTTTAATTTTTGATTTTATTAATGTAAGCTAATAGCGATATGTTTTGTTAAGTGTAATTATCACAAAATTATTTAATAACGAAGTTGAAAAGGTTAGACTTTTAATGATTAGAATAAAAGGATATTATTAAAAGTTTATGATAAACTGGCTCTAATTAAAGCATTTCCCTTTAAAATGTGATGTTTATTTTTAAGTTCTGTAATCAAGTGATAATGTTAGAAAAGATCCTTTACTTTTGTTAATATCTGAATTTTATTCGAATTTTAGGATTTTAATATGCGAAATTAAATTTCAAATTAATTATATTAAAATCCCACCCCAGTAAAAAAATACACACCTCCACTGGGATGGGGCTAAAATATTTGTTATAAACATTCACAATTTTTTATACACATCATCTATATTACAAAATTAATCTTTTGGCCATTTTATATAATAAATTATTAATGATATAAATATTTTAATTATTGTTATTGTTTAAATATTTATTAACAAAAAAATTTTATTAATTTTAAAACAATGAAATATTTACTTATTTGTAAAATACGTCACGTAGTAATTATTATTATTAAATATGTAAAAATAACAAAAATAGATCTAATTTTAAATTAATTAATTAGTCTAATAACCAAAAAGAAGTTCATTTCAGATAATATGTATAATCGTTTCCTTGCAAAAGCAGGATATTATTAAATGCTTACACATCAGATTTTATTCTTTAATACGAATAATTTGCCTTTCTTAAGAAATAGTTACACAAATCTAAGTTTAACTCGGATTGTATTGTTCGATTTTACTATATTTTGTCGAATTCGAATAGAAAAAGAAAGATGAAAGTGTTCTTAATTGCAGCATTTTCATTCCTTGATGTATTTGGAGTTGTACAATCATTTACTGTGGGTGAATTGAAAGATGCTGTGTGCTGTAATGCTACATTTTTCTTTTTTCTCTCTATTTTACTGCAGTAAGAACTAAGTTTATAATTTACTTTGATTTACATTCGTTTTTTTCAGCTATACCCGACGAATATCTACTCAGATTCATAAATTGCACTATTAGTCGGGCTCCAAAAATCTATCAAAAAGTATGCGAATTTTCCTATTATTAATTCTGGCTTGGTTTAGATTAATTCACGAATTATTAAACGAATGTGTTTTTTTTATTACAAGGCAATCGATAACTTATATGAATGCGTAGATACATTTTATGAAGTCGATGGCAAATTGGATGCCCTTTTAGCATATTTTTGTGACGATGTATTTAAAGACAAGAATGTAAGCTCTTTCTTTNAAATAAACCTAATTTATAATTAATTAATTAGTCTGATTATTAAAGAGAAATTCATTTCAGAAATAAATATGTATAATCGTTTCCTGGCAGAAACAGGATATTGTTAAATGCAGCCACATCCGATTTTTTCCCTTTAACACAAATAAATAGCCTTTCCTAAGAAGCATTCACACAATTTGAAGTTATACTCGGTTTGTAATTGTTCGATCTTATAACATTTTGTCGAATTCGAATAGAAAACGAAAGATGAAAGTGTACTTGATTGCAGCATTTTCATTCCTAGCTGTATTTGGAGTTGTACAATCATTTACTCCGGAAGAATTCGAAGATGCTGTGTGCTGTATGGCTGCGTTTTTTCTTTTCTCTCTCTCCACTTTATTGCTGTAAGTATTAACTTTATAATTTACTTTGATTTACATTTGTTTTCTTTTCAGCTATACCTGAGAAATATCTACTCAGATTCCTAAATTGCACTGTTAGTCGTGCCCCAGAAATCTTTCAAAAGGTATGCTTATTTTCTAATTCNAGATATTTTTCGAAGGGGGAAATGGTCTTCACAATTTGAAATCGATCAAACACACAGTGCTCGAATGCTCGTGTAAACGCGCGCCATCTATCGTAGGATAAATGCCAGAAACCTTCGCGGGAGTATATTAAACAACTAATCAAAGTTTCAAGGCAACGGGATGAACAGTGTGATAATGCATGAAGGACACACACGAACACACACACATTCATTTTTATATATATAGATAAGCTTAATTTTCAGAGTAGGGATGAGTTTTATAAAAAAATTTTAATTGCTAATAACGAGTAAAATTGTCATTAAGTCCGACCCTGCTGAAGATACACACGACCCCTTTCTTTGCTCACCCTCATCACCTTTAACCACCAAAATTGAATAACAAATTTCCTTAATACACAAACTTCACTGCAAAATTTCAGAAATTTTCGACAAATTAAGTAGTTCGAGTTTTAATTTTTGATTTTATTAATGTAAGCTAATAGCGATATGTTTTGTTAAGTGTAATTATCACAAAATTACTTAATAACGAAGTTGAAAAGGTTAGACTTTTAATGATTAGAATAAAAGGATATTATTAAAAGTTTATGATAAACTGGCTGTAATTAAAGCATTTCCCTTTAAAATGTGATGTTTATTTTCAAGTTCTGTAATCAAGTGATAATGTTAGAAAAGATCCTTTAATTTTGTTAATATCCGAATTTTATTCGAATTTTGGGATTTTAATATCCGAAATTAAATTTCAAATTAATTATATTAAAATCCCACCCCAGTAAAGAAATACACACCTCCACTGGGATGGGCTAAAATATTTGTTATAAACATTCACAATATTTTATAAACCTCATCTCTATTTCAAAATTAACTTTTCGGCCATTTTATAATAATTAATTATATAAAAAGTTTTTAAATACAATA